GCCGACGTTGTCCGCGATCGTGCCTACAGGACACTTCGTCCAGCACTTCCTGGACCTCTCCTGGACATGTCGCCGACGCTGTCCGCGAGCGTGCCCGGGTTGTGCGGGTCGTCCTCGGGCAAGTCCTCCACCACCTTGCCCGCCAAGTCGGCGCCCACGTCCGCCGCCTTTGTGTAGATGCCTCCGCCCACCCGGCCGAACATCGCCACCGCCGAGCCTCCGAGCCCAAAGCCCGCTATGCAGTCGAACAGCTTCATCGCGCCGGCGGTCGTGCCCCACGAAAAGGAGGGGGCGAGGAAGACGACGAGCGCGTAGAGGCAGAGGAGCGCCTGCGCGCGCGGTGGCGGTGGCGGCGGGCCGCCGGTTCCCGGTGAGAGTGCGCGGGAGGGGCGGGAGGGGCCGGAGGAGGGCGGGAGGGCCGGGGGAGGGCCGGGGGAGGTCGGGAGGTCGGGAGGTCGGGAGGGCGGGAGGGCGGGAGGGCGGGAGGAGCAGGCGGCAGAGGCGTCGGAGGCGGAGGAGGCAGAAGCGGCGGAGGAGGAAGAGGCAGGGGCGGCGGAGGAGGAGGAGGCGGGGAGGGAGGCGGGGAGGGCGGGCGCGTTGCACCAGGCCGCAGAGAGAGAAGCCCATCACTCCGCCAGCGCGGAAGGCCGTGTTGAACGACTCTGTCCAGCCGTGCGGTGCCGGCTTGACCGCGCCTGCGGGAGGGGCGGCGCCACGCGTGCGTGGGGGCCGCTCGCACGCGGGCGGGCGCGCCGCGGCGCTGCGGCCGCACCGACGGTGCAGCGAGCGTTGGAGAAGACCGCGACGCGCATGCCAATGTATCCCGAGAGCATCGAAGTGAGTGCGCCGACGACGAACGAGGTGGCGGTGAAGATGGCGGTCTCGCGGCCGGAGGACCACGAGACGAGGCCGACGATCACACCGGCGAGGAAGACGACGAACACGGTACACAGCTTGTACTCTGAGAAGAGGAACGAGTTGGCGCCGTTCGAGATGGCAGCGTAGAGCTCGCGCAGGCGCTCGTTCTGTTCGAATGTCTGGTTCTGGCCAGCCTCCTTGACCGACATCATCATCGTCTCGTCCTCCTCCTATAGGAAAGCACGTTCTGGCGTGCATGCGCTGCAGGGCGTCTCAACGGAGCACGAGCGGCGCCTCAACCTGAGCGACATCAAGCCGCACAGCCGCCACTCTTCGATGAAGGAACAGCGCAAAGAAGATGCCAATTAGACCGGTGATGATGATGAGAGACTCGGCGCCGATGGTGGGCCCCACGGGCAGCGCGCCAGCAGGACACGACGCCATAAAGGCGGTGGGGTGTAGCAGGATCGTGGCAGCGGGCTCTAGTTTGTCCTAGTCTTCGGAAAAAAGAAAAATGTATTATCCTAACGGTGTGGGGGCGCGGAGGGCTTGTTGGCGAGCCAAAATGGTGTTTTCCGAGGCGCTGCGCTAGGCTCAGAGCGAGTTCGCGCTGCGCTAGGCTCAGACGGCGAGTTCGCGCTGCGCTAGGCTCACAGATGCGAGTGCGCTGCGATAGAAGAAAAAAACAGGGTCGAAACGACAACCGAAGGGAGGACTGTGTAGTGTAATCATGTGTCAAGAATCACGTGCTGCTGCTGCTGCTGCTACTGCTGCTGCTGCGCGGCGAGCGCCGTCGCCGAGGCGGGCCTCGGCGGAGAGCGCGATTATGCGGCCTTTTCCGCGACCCGCACAAAGAAGAGGCGCCCTCCGTCAGCCTCGACCTGCCACCGGCTCGCGTCGACCGACCCGGCCGCGTGCCACACCTCCACAGCCCAGTGCGCCAGCCCGCAGAAGTTGCCCTCCTCGATGCCCCATCCCGTGGGCCACGCGGCCAAGGCGGTGCCGAGAGGCGGCGGCGGCGCCGCGGTCGCCTCGAGACGCGCCGCGACGGCGTCAAAGGCGATCCGCCTCGCGCCCGTCGCGGCCGCCTCGGCCAGCAGCGCCTCCCCGGCCAGCCGCGGGAGGTCGCCCTCCGTCTCGAACCAGCACGACGAGCGGCCGTCGGCGCACGCCTCGTCCCACGCCTTGAGCTGGCGGACAAAGGCCGCCAAGCTCTTGAGGCCGGGCGAGGGCGCGGCGGGCGACGGGGCAAGGGAGCAGCCGGGCGAGGAGAGGTAGGAGGTGCTCGCCGGCGAGCGCTCCCGCGCCTGCGAAGGGGCAAGGCCTGAGGGCGGGCGGGCGGTCGGGCGGGCGGGCGCGGGTGGGGGGGATAAACGCTGCGCCGCCAAAGGAACCAGCGACACTGGCCGCGGCTCGTCGCCACGCGCCGGCTCGGAAGAGGGGCTGTCGGCGGCGAAGCAGAGTGGCACGCCTCGCCGCTCGAGCCGCCGACAGCCCCCCTCCTCGACGTGACGGCCGCTCCCGGAGCCGGCCGGTGCGCGCCTGACCCACGCCCCCTCTCGCACCCCTCCGACCCCCCCTGCGCGGCGCACCCGTCCGCTGTGCGCCGGCTCGAGCGCCTATTGCCAAATCGCGACGTTTGAGCGCAGCGCACGCATCCTCTGGGCGCCTGAGCGCGGCGGAATCTTGCCAGAATGTGGCCGCAGGAAGAGCCTCCGGCGGGCCTCCGGCGGACGCCTGGCGGCGTGGCGCTGCGCGCCGGCCTGCGGCCCAAAGCCCGAACGAGCGGTCAAGTTAACTTGACGCGCCGAATCCCTTGGTTGGCCCTCGCAGCTGTGATACAAAAGTGTGAGTCTTTCGCTAAGCGCGGGTTAGCGCGGGTTAGTGCTCACTAACCCGGCACGGGTTAGCACGGGTCAGAATGGGTTACCATAACCCGGCACTAACCCGGCACTAACCCGGCACTAACCCGGCACTAACCCGGCACTAACCCATGCGGCTGGGGGGCATACGTCAGCATGGGTTATGGTAACCCGAGACTAACCCGGCGCTAACCCGGGTTAGTCTCTCCCTCGGACGGCTTGGCTGCACCTTGCCCCTTGGTGCTCTCCGCGGCAACGCCGTTATCGGTAAGTTGAGCGTGTATGGAGTGAGTCTATCGCGTATCGGTAAGCGCGGGTTAGCGGCGGGTTCCACACGGGTTAATCCACACTAACCCAGCACGGGTCAGCACGGGTTAGAACGGGTTACCATAACCCGACGCTAACCCGGCACTAACCCGGCACTAACCCGGCACTAACCCGAGACTAACCCGGCGCTAACCCGCGCTGCTCGGGGGCATACGTTAGGATGGGTTAGTCTCGGGTTAGTGCCGGTTAGTGCCGGGTTAGTGCCGGGTTAGCGTCGGGTTATGGTAACCCGTTCTAACCCGTGCTGACCCGTGCTGGGTTAGTGTGGCTTAACCCGGTGGAACCCACGGCTAACCCGCGCTTACTGACAGACTCACAAAAGTGGGGACGCGCCTGGCGGCGCGCCCCCAAAAACCACCGCTTCGGAGAGGGGGGGTGGGGTGGGGATAAATATCCGAGTGTTCGCCAGGAAGACCACCAGAGAGAAAGAAACACGAAGCCCACCGAGGAGTGAGTGCGTGAGTGAGTATTCTTGACAACAATCTTGATACGAAACCACGACGACACACACCAAAACAACTCTAACACTCACACGTCATTTGGGTCTCTCTCTCTCACACACCAGTCGACTCGCATCGGTTGCCTCCATGAACGGCGGAGCTATTCTCGCGCCCACACCACACCTGGCTCCAACGTGGACACGCCCATAGCTGGGGACACTACTAGGATCTAGGTCACGCATGGCATCAGAAGTTTTATCTCTGAGCCCCGAAAGGCATCTCTAGCAGCGTCGTTACGCATGCGCCCTCCCCTCCCTGGGCGCATGCGCCTCACATCTCGCCAGAGCATAAGCTCTTGGTGTGCGACGAGACGAGTTTTTCGCCATCGCCATCGCCGCGAGCAGCAAGCCGCCCGCCGCAACAGCCGGAGGCATCGCCGCAGCACCAGCCGCGCCGCGGTCCCGCACCCGTTGACGAAGCTCCCTCCCCCTGCGGAAGACCGCGCACACACACACACACACACACACACAAACACACACACACCCACCGAGGAATAAGAGAGAAAGCGGATACCAACACAAGAACACAACGCACTCTCTCACATTAACACAAATGCACGTCTCGCGCGCGCGTGAACAGGGCCCCTGCGCTGCACGTCTCGCGCGCGCGTGAACAGGGCCGCGCAAAGCTGTCCCCCCCCCGCAAACTTTAAACCACCATAAACATCATTGTGCAGGGGCTCCAGGCCCCAAATGACGTGTGAGTGTCAGAGTTGTTTGGTATTGGTATTGCTAAAAATCTCTCTCTCACATCAGGTCATTCGTGATTAGAGAATGAGAGAAAAGAGAGAGAAGAGACAAAAAGCGCAAAGAAAGAAAGAAAGAAAACAGTCAACCCAGCAAAGGATGTGAAGGATGAGAAGGCGTCACATGTGCGGCATCCCCCCACCCACATCATCACTTTGATACCATTGTATTCATTTTTTCTGTATTCCTTGCCCCTGCAGTCTGGAGCCACTCCGCTGTGAAACATCCCCAGGGCCTCCAGGGCTCGCACCTCAACCTCTCACAGGCCAGCGCACAGCGCCATACGAGGTATTTTCTTCTCAATAACAAGGCTGTGAACACCGAGGGGCCTCGGTCTTGGAGCTCCCTGCTCGGTGTACGAACTCTGTTCACACCGAGTACCCGGGTACCCGGGTAGCTGGGAGTGAAAGCGGCTATAGAGACAGCTGCAGCCCTTTACAAGCGGTGTGTGCCATGGTGCTCGACCTGGGCGGCTTCGCGGACGGCTTCGAGACCTCCGCCTCACCACTCTGCTGGCGCGACCCTCCCGAGTCCTCCCTCTCGGACTGGACCGTCCACGTCGCCGCACCGGAGCTGCCGCCGGCAACGTACCACGTGCACAGAGCCATGCTTGCGACCGGGCTGCGGAGAAGCGAGTACTTTAGTCGCCTCTTCACCGGCGCCGGCGCCTCCGGCCTCGCCGAGAGCGCGCGCCGTGGCAGCTCTGTCGAGCTGCAGCCGTCGGCGGCGCGCGCCTTTCCGGCCTTCTTGGATTTCGTGTACAAGGGTGACCTTCCGATCGACAACACGTCGGCCATCGCACTGCTGCACCTCGCCAATTACTTCCTCAACCGTGCCCTCTTTGACCGCGTCACCGAGTACGTGCAGGGCGTCCTCGAGGGCGACGCGGCCGATCAGGCGGCGCCTCTCTACCTGGGCGAGGCGGACCGCTTTGGCCTCGACAAGGCAGCCAACGCGTGCGTTGCCGTCTGCGCAAAGCACCTGCTTGGCCGCAAGCCGGGGTACTGTGCCGAGCTCGCACCGCCCGTCTACCTGCGCGTCGTTAGCGCCACCGCGTGCGCGACTCGGCAGCACTCGCTCGCGCTGTCGCAGCACGTGTCAGCCTACTGCAACGCGCACTCCGAGTCTGTCGACCTCGTCCTGCTCGAGAGCCTCACTGCGAGGCTGACCTCGGTCGCGGCCGACTCGGCGCTCGACCTGCTCGGCCACGCCGTCTCGCGCCACGGCGCCGAGGCGCTACAATCTGCCTGCGCGAGAGCGATCGGCGAGGAGTGGGAGGACGCGCTCCTGCCGTCGGTCGCCGCCTCGCTCGATGCGCCGGGCGACCAGGGGGCGGAGTGGGCTCCGCTGAGAGGGAGGACGAGCTATCCGCCCGGCCTGCAGCTCGGCCTGCTCTCGCACGCCCTCGTACACGCAGGGCGCAACCTCGAGCAGACTCGCGCTCAACTCGCGCTCCGCGAGAAACGGATCGAGGAGCTAGAGGCTACTCTGAGCAAAATCAAGCTCAGCTCCAACTACCTGACGGCGAACTGCCGAGAGTGTGGTCAGCCCGCCCGTCGCGAGAATCGGGAGCTGCGAATCATCATTGCGAACATGTAACATGCACATGGTGATGTGCAGACAGCATATGCATATACACATATTAGATGGAGAGAAGTAGAGCCTGGAGCGAGAGAGACTGAAAACTCAAGCGACAAGCCCGACACAGATAGAGCGGGAGTTATGTTCATTAGGCGATAGTGGGTACACGTATTAGTTAGACGCGGCAAGCGGTATGTCGTTGTGGCGTACGTGCGGGGTGCGGTGCGGCGCGGTCCGGCGTGTGACACCCTGGTGACACCCTCGGCCCGCACGCCGGACGACTTGGTGGTTGGTGTGCCACGGTGTGTGTGACGTGCACTGTGTATGTCCGCGTATGTGTGTGTGCAGGCTGAGGGAGCAGTGGCTTGTGGCTAGCGCTCAGCCCTCACACGCCTCAGGGTGGGCGAGGCCGCGAGCGGCGAGGGGGAGGGGGAGGAACGTGGAGAGGGGAGGGTGGAGCGATATGTAAATGATAGAGGCTGCGCAGGCCTACCGGTTCACATGTTTGCAGAGCGCAGAGGCAGAGCGGGTCAGCGGCGTGTGTGTCACGTGTGCCACCTCTGACTCAGGTCGTGGCCGCCGGCAGCGCCGGCTGCAACCTCAATCTCTTGGTGGTGACGCAGACGAGGGGATCTCCCACTCCCCCCGACCTCTCGGCGTCGTCTCCTGGAGCCGCCTCCTCCCCACAGAGCGCGCGCAACCGCTGCGCGTCAAACACCAGCGTCGAGCCGACCTGTGTCCGGGCGGCTGCGGCTGAGTCTCGCACGGGAGGCGCCGTCGGGTGCTGGCTGGGCGAGCCGTGCGCGCGCCTCCTCCTCGAGCTTCCCCGTAAACTCGAGCCCGTTGACCCGCACGCGCGGCGACGTGGAGTCGAGCCCCTGTGGCCAGCGGGGCCGGCCGTCACCCGGCGGGGTTGTGGGGCCTAGTCGGGCGGCGTCCCGCTCGTGCGCCTCCACCATAAACGCAGCGCCCACTGGTGCCAGCGCCCACTGGTGCCCGGAGCCGCCCTCGAACTCACAGACCACGAACTCCTCCTCCCACTCATTGGCGTCGTCGCAGCGGCGCCGCTTGAGCCGCTCGTCTTCGTGGCGGGCGCGCATCGCGCGCGAGAGCAGCGGCAGCAGCGAGTCGAGCTTCGCCGCCGGAGCAGCGTTCGCCATGCGGTACGACGTTTTCTTTTGGCGTGTGTACTCTTAACCGGGAGAATTTGCCCGCCAAAAGAAATTAAAACTTGGCCCTCGGGCGGCCTTCTCTCGAGGTCTCGAGATACACAAAGCGGCCAAGGGAGACGCCTTTCGCCGGCAAGGCCCTCGATGTCCGTGTCGACGGTACGTACGCCACCGCCCTCTCCTCCGACACCCTCCAGGACGAGCTCAATAGGAAGCTCGGCCTTTGGCTCTCCGTGGCGCTTCCCACCCTTCGGGTCGCGCTCGAGCGGGGCACGCCAGTCGATTTCTTCGGCGACTACCTTTACAACAAGGCCCACCACCGGCGGCCCCACGACGGCGTCCTCGCCGCCTGGGCGGACGCGATGCGCGCCCCGGCCAACGCGCCGCGGTCGTGCACGGTGACAAGGAGAAACCGGAGCTGACTCGGCAGTACAACGAGGGGTACAAGGTCGACCTCGCAGAACCCCATACAGGGCCGGGAGGATGCGATGAGGTGAATGAAGTCATGGACAAGTTTCCAATCGGCTCCAAGCTTCGGCTGTGCTGGATAGTTGTGTCCGCGACTTTGCGCCCTTCATCAACTATGAGCACTTCAAATGCGCCCCAACCCTCCACTGCTGCCGCCTCATCCTGCGCTGCCACCGGTGCGCGCCGGCTCGAGGCTTTCCGGGCACACGAGGACACAAGGCGGCAACGTCTGCCCACTGTCCGCGCAGGTGTGCGGCGCTCGTCGAGATTGACGGCAGGGCGTTGGGCTCGGCGGCGATGTTGGAGGGTGCGCGTGCGGGTGAGGCGTCCGCGGGTGAGGCGTCCGGCCGCTAGTGTGCGCACCCTCGAGCCGTCACGAGACACGACCCCGACCGTCAGCTTCTCTGCGTGAATGTATGGCTAGCGTGCTTCCACTGCGCGCCCGCGCCTGCGGCGCCGCCGCGGCTCCCCACCCTTTTGCGCAGCAACACCTTAAACTTTTCAGGCCCTCCAAATTCGGGTCGGAGCGTAGCGGAGTGGGCCCCGAGTTTGAAAAGGGCGACGGACGCTTGCGTCCTAGCCCCCAACAACGCCTCCCCGGCGCAGAGGGGCCCCCGGAGGGATGCACAACCGACCCACGCCACGCCGCTTGCGGCGGCCCGTGCGTTATTGGTTTCTCTGGTAGATCTACTGCTTTTTGGAAGCCCCTCTGTAAAAAGAAACCATTCTGCCAATGAAGGCGAGCAGCTTGACGCTCCTCGCTGTGCTGGCCTCCGCGGCGCGCGCGGTCCGCGTCGGGCAGCCGGCGCAGCGCGCAGGCTCGCGCGAGGTCGTCGCGCGCGCCTCGGCAACGGCAACCGCCGCGGCCGCCTATTCCACCTGGGCCGACCTCGCCTCGGAGCCTCAGCTGCTCCCCGAGGCGCAAGCGGCCCGGACAGTGATGGAGGTGTCGCCGATCGCGCAGCTGTGCCTCGCGTCGTCCGCCGACGGCGTCGACGGCACCGTCTGCGCGCGCCTCGTCGCTGGCTCTCCCAGCCGACCCGAGCCGGTACGGCTCGCGGGCGGCGACCAGATCTTCGGTGTCGACGAGGACGGGTCGCCTCTCTTCGGGCTGCGGCCGGGCTCGCAGGCGGCGCTCGACATTGCGGCGAGCGCGTCCGTCTCCTTCGCCGCCCACGCGCCCACGGGCGGCGCCCAGGCCGGCTGCGCCGTCACGCTGCTAGGTGGCACCCGAGATAGACTCGAGATGGACCCGAGATGGCCCCGAGATATGACCGGTCACGCGTGCAGGCCCGGCCGCCGAGGCGGAGCTGCCGGCGGAGCTGGCGAAGAAGCTCGCGAGGCAGACCGGCGTGGGGAAGGAGGAGCTGGAGGGGCGGCAGTGGTGGCGGCTCGCGCCGTGTCACGTACACTTTACCGATGCCCTCCACGCGCGCGACGCGTGGGTCTCGCCGGACGAGTACGCGGCCGCGCAGGCGAACCCGCTCGCCGAGTCGCTGGGCGCGGTCCTCGCCAAGCTCAACGCGAACCACGCCGCCGACCTCGCACGGCTTGCGGGGATGCTGCAGGGCGAGGCGGCCGAGGCCGCGGCCCCCCTCGGAGAGTACGCCGCCGCCGACGAGGAGACGTTGTCTGCAGAGATCCTCTCCGTCGACCCGGACGGTTTCGACCTCGGCTTGCGGCCCGCGGGCAAGGGCGGCGCCATCGCGCCGCTCCGGATCGGGCTGCGCGCGGGCCCGCAGACGCGCGAAGAGACGCTCTCCATCTTCTCGAAGCTGTTCCAGGAGACGTATGCGCGGCAGCAGGGCTGGCAGTGACGAGGCGGCTGCGGCCGGCGCGTTCTGGCCTGCCCTCCTTTTACCTTTACCTTCAGGCGAGAAGGAGGGTGTGCAAGACACTCGAAGTAGAGCCTATCGCACGCGCCTCGGGGACGCACGTGTGTGGCCCAGCTCGGCGGATGCCGGAACGGTAAAAGGCATATCCTAACCGTACACAGTGGCTGGCTTGTCGCAAGTTCCGCGTACCGCAAGGTCGCCTCGGAGGCAGTACCCGGTGTAGAGGGTGTGGATGATGGGTTGACGGAAATCCGGGGACGCGACCCACCTCGCCACAGGGGGCTAGCTCAGAGGAGACAGAGCCCCAGGACCCGGAGGCCGGGGATCACGAAGAGGAGGCGAGCTCGCAGGATTTCCTGATCGAAGAGCCTGACTCGCAGGACCAGGAGAGCTTCTCGAGCATGGACGTGGACGGGGTGGAGGAGGCAAGCTCGCAGGACACCCTGTCTGGGCAGCCCGACTCGCAAGGCAGCTTCTCGAGTTGTATGGACCTGGACGAGGAGGGCGAGGCGGAGGGCGGCCCTGCGCCTGAAGAGGCGGGCGACACGAATGAGGGCGACGGACAAGATCGCGGCGCAGGGGGTCCGGAAAGCGGCGGGGCTGGAGGGGGCGGCCCCTCCCCGAACCTCGCCCTCGGGCGAGTTAGAGTCGTCGGCCAGGGAGGCAGGACTCCCGCAGGGCACCTTCGGGTGGATCTCAGTAGATCCGGCAGGCACCCCGAGCTCGCGACGCCCTTCACGACTGGAAGGGCCAGGGAGCGCACGTGCTTTGATCGCAGGGGGCACCATGGAGGGTGCACCTGCGCCACGGAGGCACTCCGGGCGGCGTATGCAATGTGGGGGGAGGGCCGGGGCGATGCTGCCTCGGCGCGCGCTGCCGCGACGCGGCACGGAGTCGACCGGGCCACGCCGGCGAGGGAGATGCGCTCCAGCGAGGGTCGCGTCCTTGAAACCGCCGACGCGTTCCTGGACGACAAGGCCGATCGACTCTGGAGGACGCGGTCGGCGGCGCTTCGCGAACTGGCACAGAAGGTTCGGGACGGCACGGATCTTGCTCTCCTGTGCGCGGGTAGGATTGAGTCCTGTCACGGCGATCTGCTGAAGAAGGGGATCCTGGCCGAGGCTGCGCAGCTCGAGGCCACCAGCAAGAGGAAGCCGCGCTCCGACAAGGGCAAGCCGAGGGGTCCTCGGGGGCCCAGGGCCGACTCGGTGGAGACGGCGGCCCGCATGGGGGTGCTGGCGACCTTCTACCTCCGGCACGCCTATGGACGGGACAGCCCGAGGCTGCATGAAGAGGACGGGGTGCTCTCCGCGAATGGGGGGGTGCTGTGCGCGGGGTGCGGGGAGGAGGCGCCCGGGCTCGGGGCGCGGGACGGGGTGGGGGATGGCGGTGAGGGGGGGGGCGTGGGCGAGGGGGGGGAGGGGGGCGGTGGGGAGCGGGGGAGGAAGAGGGGGAGGGATCCGACTGAGGAGGAGGCGGTGGGGGTGGAGGGCGGGGGGGCGGGAGGCGTGTTTGGGGAGATGGGGGATCGGGTGGGGCGGGCGGAGGGGGGCGGGTCATCGGGTGGGGCGGGGGGTGGGGATGGGAGACGGCGCCCGAGGGGCAAGCAGAAGGCACGCAGCCAAAGGGAGGCAGGCCGGGTCAAGGAGGGGGCTGGCGAGAGTAACTGACATCCGGGAGGGGGTCGTTGCGTGGCGGTATCTATGGGTGTGTTTGGATGTCTTGCGGGTGTTGGTCTTTGAGCGTGGAGTACGTCTAAGAGTTGCTATGCCTGTGCTTGTTATCGTTCAGCCCCTGCTTGTCCCCCCCCCCCCCCTGCCCTCTGTTGACCCCCCCCCCCCCTGCCACGGCGCCGCTTGAGATAGACCATGTAACCTCTGCCTACTCTCGCAGGTGCGAGGGGAACTGAAATAAAAACATGGGCTTGCCCATCCCGGAGTGGTTCGACCCCACGCAAGCCCGGAGGGGTGATGGGATGCTGTCTCGGCGGTCTCAGGCCCAGTGAGGTAGTGCGCCAGGCTATCCCAGATCCTGCTGAACAAGCTCCTCTTGTAGCTCGATCGGTCACACCGCCATCGCCGTTGGGGAGAGAGGGGACGATACTGCTTCAGCAGCGTGCACCTCGATCCTGCACCGTGTTTGTTATGACCCCCCCCAATGAACACACCAGTGAGTGTGCAGTGAGAGAGAGATTTTTAGCAATACCAAACAACTCTAACACTCACACGTCATTTGGGGCCTGGAGCCCCTGCAAAATGATGTTTATGCCCTGTTCACGTGTTCGTGTTTGTGCAGTGAGGGAGGGCGAGACGATCGAGGGGTCCCGTACCATGCGGAATCGACCCTATCCAGTGCTCAAGTGCTCAAGAGCCACGTACACTGGAAAAAATATTTGTTCAACACAACTGAAACGCAGCATCAAACGAGGCTGGATCCAACTTGTAAAGGTCCTAATCGGCCAACCGTCCATCGGCCTCGTTGCCGCATTGTCATAGTGGCGCATACACAGACATATATGTTGTCCTTCGGCCTCGTCTCCTGCGGCTTCTCCGCAACCCCGCTCGTCTGCGAGGACGATCAGACCCCCTGGGTGAACAACATTTGCCTCTGGCACGGACTGCGCGACGACAACCCGGACCTTGAGGGCGGCAAGGGACCGATCGAGGACGCTTTGCATCAAATCGACTGTGGCGAGGAGAGTGCCTTTGGACCCAATGTTCAATCCGGCGCGGTGCGTTCGCGGTGCGGACAGCGGTGGTGGCGGCTTCGTTCGCACGCGGCGGGGGATGGATGGCGCGAGGGCGATGAGGGCGGCGAGGGCGGTGAGGGCGGCGAGGGCGGTGGAGGGCGAGAGGGGGTGGTGAGAGGGGACTCTCGCTAAATCCCGCCGCTCGCTCCGCAGGACGTTACGGTGGGGTCGTCTGGCCTGCTTGACGCAACCCTCTCTCCCGTTGAAACGCATTTCAACGAGGCGGGTATGTGCGTCGTCAACGTGCACTGGCACCTCGGCGCCGAGCACAAGAACGTTGGCACGTATGACATTGACGGCGAGGAGTGGATGGAGCAGCACGGAAAGACGAAGCCGAAGGCCCACGGCGCGAATGTCGTGCCAGGCCACGGCTACGGCTACGGCAATGTCAAAGGTGCCGTCCCCCTCGGCGAGCACGACGATATCGACCCAGGCAACTTTTGCCCAGGCTACGACGAGGCGTTGCTCCTCCGTAGCCCTGCCTGTGCCCAACTGCGCACTGCCCAACTGTGGCGCGGCGTATCGAGTCTCGTTTGTTGCTCCCCGACTCCCCTTAGAATGATCCGGCGTGGACAACTGAGTACGACTGGGAGTACTGCACCGACATGCGACATGCAGCCGTCGCCACCGCCGTCGAAGGAGCCGTCGCTAACTTATTCAAGAACTTGTAGGCACGTGGGCTTCACCTACGAAATCCACTGGCCCCACTCCTCGCTGGGCGCCTGCGGCACCCCCTGGCAGATGCAGTCGCACTTCATGGACGGTGCCGCCGTCCGCCTCCCACAATCCCGGCCCCTCGCCCCTTGCCTGACACGCTGACACGCGTGCTATCATCTCTTTTCCGTTTCCTACCCGCGAGTGACTGGCCGTGACGATCTGAACAGGCGTGCTCTGCAAGGCCAACGAAGCCGACATGGACCCTGGAGACGCTGTGGCGGCCGTCCTTGACGGTACGGCCAAGATTGGTGTCCAAGGGATGGTCGTTATGGTGGTCAATGACGCCGCATATGACTACCCGGAGTGGAATATGATGGAGGGCTGGCATCCGGACCTCGTGACTGACGTGGCCATCTACCAGGCTCTTTCCGCTCCCTTCTGAGCTCCACAGTCCATATTCTTGTGGTGAAGCCACGCGCCGCGACCGCTCCCTCGCAGGGCTCCACCACGGGGCAAAAGCACGGCAACGACTTCACACCCGGCGCAAAGGCCTGCAAAGGCACCGGCGGAGCCGTCACCTGGCAGATGGACCGCGGCTGCCACAAGGTCTCTGCCAAGTCTGTTGACAACCTGTGCAAGCAGATGCTGGCCAACAGCGAGTACCCGCTCTGCGGCGACAGCATGAAGGACTCCACCCCTGTCGTACACTGACATGACGGGTCTGAGGCCTCGCTCTGAACCATCGCTGCGCCATCCGTTAGTAGGGCGACACCTACCCGCACAACGCCCGCGAGACCACCGTCGCAGCAATCACGACCAGCCAGACGATGGAGGAGGGCGTCGACTTTGGTCGCGCCCGCTAGACGCGTCTAGCCAGGAGCAGGAATTAGCCGCCGTTGTTGCGGGCAGGGAGGGAGCTCCTCTGACTCAGGACCTCAGTCAGTCGCTACAACCGGGTGCATCCTCTCTCAGGGTCGGGGCCGAAACCGGAGCCCAGGAACCGCGCCGGCACACCGGTGTCCTGTCGCGCTAGCTAGTTGTAGTTCGTTGTGTGTGCGCTGCCAGCCAGGTCACCTGGTTTGTGGAGCTCCCGCAAGTCACCTGGAACCCTCACCGAGCAGCTGTGGAGGCGGGCTGCGGCAATTGCAGATGAGCGGCCCGGTGTTTCGTTCGGTTCTTTAGGTCCCTAAAACTCCTTTCGTCGGGTCGGGGTGGGGCGGGGTGGGGTGGGGATGTTGCGGTGCGAAAATGATTTTTTTGGGTAAAGTTCTTTTCGCAGGAGTCGCTTAGGCGGCTCCCGTGGTGTACCTAAAAAGAAAGAAAGAAAGAAAACGGACAACCCAAGGGATGGATGGGAGGACGGCACGCCGCCCCACACAGGTGGTGGGTTGTGCGCAATCTTTTCGCCACCGAGTGCCACACAGCAAGCGGTCGCCACCGCGAAGTGGGGGCCGGGTGTACACGAATATTGTGTGTATGCTCACTCTCGTTGCAGCAGCTGCGGCCACCGCCGCTGCCGCGACGTCCTCTGACGCTCCTGTCGCCGTGTCGGCCACCGCCGCTGCCGCGACGTCCTCTGTCGCTCCTGTCGCCGTGTCGGCCACCGCGGTCGACCCTGCTGTCTCAGCGACGGCCGTGCGCGCGACGGCGACCCTAGTCAGCGCCTCCAACCGAGTCGCCGCGCCGCCCGCCAAAGCTGCAGAGCGCCCGCGCCGCCGCTCGCGCGCGAGTGATGTAATCCGCCGACCGGACTCGGCGTGCGTCGCCTGGCGACAGTCCACCTTCTGCCGGTGGGACGGGCCGCGAGAAGAGGCGGCGGACGAGCCGTGCAACGCCACCATCTCGACCGGCCGCAGTGGCTACTGCCACTGCCGGAGGCACCGGCACGTGGCGCGGTTCGACTGCGGCCACCCGCCGCTGCGATGCGATCAGGCGTGCGCCGTGCTCGAGGACGCCCCGACGGTGCGCGCGCTCGCGTACACCGCGCTGATGGCGTTTGACGACCGCGCCGCCGCCCTCTCGCTCGCTTTCGGCGGAGGTCGAAGGAGGAGGGACGCCTCGCAGCGGCCACCAGCGAGGCCATCCTCACGCAGCGACGCGGCGGGAGGCGCGGGCAGGATCCCGGTGACGCTGTACCAGACCATCGACAAGCTCGACCGGCCCGGCATCGGGCTGCGCTGGGAGGAGAGCGAGCCCCTCGGGCTGCGTCGAGTGCTGCACGACGATGTCCTCGGCCAGCAGTACCTCAACGCGTCGTGGGGGCCCCGCTTCGCGCGCGCGTACGGCCAGATCTCGCTCGGCCCGATCCGCGGCCTAGCTAACGAATCGGTGATCGACGGGTTTCATGCATCCATGAAACTAGGCCAGATCTCGCTCGGCCCGATCCGCGGTGACTTCTTGCGCCTCGCGTACATTGCAGAGCACGGCGGCTTCTACGCGGACGCCGATGTTTGCCCGGTGCACAACTCGACCCTCTCTCGGCTCGCCGCCTCCGGCGCCCCGCTGGTGATAGTCGCGAGCATGTTCAGCGGTGAGCTGCTCAACGCCTTCTTCGGCGCCGTGCCGCCCCGGCCTGCAGCCCCGAGGGACGGGACCAGCGGCGAGGAAAGGCAAGGGCGATGCATTAGGCGCCGTGCCGCGCCACCCCGACCTGCAACCTCTGGTGTGGGCGGCGCTGTACCACGTCGAGGCGGCCGTGCGCGGGTACGACCGGCTCGGCGCCACCGCCGTCGCCGGCCTGCGGCTGGTGGAATCGGCGCGCACAGATTTCCGTTTGGCTGTTGACTCCCAGCTTGTGGCACTGTTAGGTCGGCGGCTTAATGGGCTCGGCGTCCTAGAGTAGTCTCTGATTCGCCATTCGCCGCGGCTGGTTCCTTCTAGGCCCGCAGCTGATGGGCTCGCTGCTCGGCGCGCAACCAAAGGTGGTCCTCCTCGAAAACACCACCGGCACCGCCCATTTGCCGGGAGAGCCGACTCTTGCGCTCGGCCCTTGCGACGGTCTCGTCAAGGACTGGGCGGCGTGGGCGGGTCGCGGCGGGTGGCACCGCGAGGTGTGCCGGGGGGGGGGGGGGGGGGCACAGCCCCGCCAGCAATTGGACGGCGGCGTGCGATTGGACGGCGGCGTTTGGAAGAGCCGCTACACACACTCAAGCGACACACTGACACCCAGCATTGGACACTAGGCGCCGGTGCGGTTCGGGTATGCCCACCAGCCAGTGGTCGAGACGAAGTGGGAGGAGCGGCGGCGGCGGCGGCGGTCGTGACGGTTCGCGCGCCGCACCGCCAGGGGCGAGGCACACCACCGTCCTCTTGAACCAAGGAGACCGGAGATCTTCTTGAGGAATGCGTTCTTCACGCCGGACGGCTCGAAAGTCGAATGTGTCGAAAAATTGAAAAGAAAACAATTCGGGTCCGCGCACGTGCCGCGGTCCGGCGCGCGCGAACACCCGCGAGACTCACGGTCACGCGCATCTCGGGGGCTTGGCGTCACCTCTAGAGAAATTTATAGCCCCCCGCTACCCAGTCGCAGTCGGAGGGAGCAGGAGCCAGGACGTTGCGGAGATCAGCAGGACCAGGAGGATGTACGAAGAGATTAGGAGCAGCAGGGACCCAGGGACCATGTGGAAGACGGCTAGTGCTAGTCCCCCACCGGGAGGACGACCCCGGCTAGTCGCCGACCACACCCACAAAGAACCCTGCACAAAGATCGAGCACAAAGATCGCACAAGGGCGGGGACCTGTTCCTTTTTACCCATCTCACAGTAGAGGTGTCCGTTTTATTTATTTATTTAGTCGCAGTCGTGCGACGTAGAGCGGCGAGCGGGGGGCCACACAACTACGTTTACGAAAACATAAGTAGTCCTCCCGCGAGGTGTGAATTTGGCCGCAAGTTAAAAAGAAAGAAAACAGACAACCCAGGGAGGGATGGGAGGACGGCACGCCGCCACCACACAGGGATTTTAAGGAGAGGAGTGTGGTGCTAGCCGTCGCCCACCCTAACCCTTGGTCGTCTGCCCCTGTCTATCTCCCCTCGCAGTCCCTCGCCGATTCTCCTGCAACCTTCATGCCACGACCTCGCGGTCGTCCCACTCTCGTCGTTCTCCCTCCTGCCGCTTCCCCTCCTCTGTCGCGTCGCTCTCGTCTGCCTCGTCCGGCGCCGCCGCCGCGGCCTGCCGATCCCTTGCTCTCGCGGCTTCTCCCGCCTTTCGGCGCAACTGCGGCGACAGCAGGGCGACAGCAGGCGTCGTCGCCGGTTTGAAAAAAGAATCCTTACCCATACCGCGAACTTCACCTTCCTACATACATACATATCCCTCGCACGACAGTCCCGTGCCCAGTGTCGTGTGTGTGAAACAGAAACGATTGAGGATTGTTGTTACCAATCGGACGTTAGCTCCCTCGCAGGCACTGACCCCAGGAATCCCGCGCCTCCTGGAAGTCCCTCTCCAGCTGCTCAAACGAGCTGCCGGCGAGGCTGTCCGCCTTGTCGGCCTGTCGGCGGGGGGGGTGGGCGGGGGCGTGTGAGATGGGGACGGGCCGCCAGTGCGGCCCGCGCGCGCGCGACGATGGCGCCCGCGGACCTCCCGCATCGCCCCCGGACGTAACGCCCATGTATGCGAAAAAAGAGGGAAAAAAAGAGAGAAAGTCTCGGCTCGGCAGCTCTTGCTTTAAAATCCCTGTGTGGTGGCGGCGTGCCGTTCTCCCATCCCTCCCTTGAGTTGTGTGTTTTGTTTCTTTCTTCCTGTGTTCGTGCCAGTGCGCGCCAGTCCCGTGCCCAGTGTTGTGCGAGGGAGTTTTGTTGTAAGATTCTTTCTTTTTGCTGCTCGGCAGCTCTATGCTGTCGCTTTTCACGGCCTCGCTCTCCTTCCAGCTGCCTTCGCTCTCCTACCAGTACCAGTCGCAGGCAAGCACCAGCGTCATCCGTTGCTCCGCCACGGTGAGCGCGACCATACCTCCGGTCGAGATGGCGGATGCCGCGCACCCTCTCATTCAGCGAGCCAACGAAATCCTCTATTCCGAGTCCGGTTTCTACAGCCCCTACAATGAATCGGCATTCTCCGAGGACTTTGTCTTCCGGGGGCCGTACATCGGACCGCTGAATAAGCAGGATTACCTCTCGACCATGGACACATTCAAGATCCACGAGGCGATCCCCGACATCTCGCCGAACGCCTTCGGCTTCTCCATCGACCCGAAGGACCCTAACCGCGTGTGGTTCATGGTCAGGAACAGTGGCACCGCCACGGGCGAGCTCGGCCTCGACCGCGACGGCAAGCTACGCGTGCCGGGGAAGGGCGCCGTCCTTGACGGCTGCCCCGAGACGTTCAGCATCATCTTCGATGCTGACCGCAAGGTGAAGTACCTGTCGGTGGGCTACGTGGCCGACCGCTTCGAGGGCAACACGAACGGAAAGGGCGCTGCCGTTGGGATCTTCCACGTCATAGGCCTGCCCTTCCCCTCGCCCGGGCCTCTGCTCAAATTCGCGCAGTGGCTCGGCACCGAGGTGGCTGACCTCGGCGCCAGGTCCTACTCGACGGAGAACGTCCCTGCCTGGTGGAAGAGCGAAGAGCGGGCTTCGGAGGGGTACCTCTGAGCCGTAGTGCACCGGCGGGAGATTGCACGTTCCGGATGCTTGTTGGCCGGTCAGTCAATGGTGCTAGTCACACAGTGTTACGCGGAACACACAGGGCATTCGTTGTGTGCATTCTCAGCGAAAGACATCACCACAGACAAAAGTAAGATAGAACACCCGGATGGTCCATGGTCTAGAGAAGGCGTCGGGTGGGCGCCTGTGTTTGGTCCAAGAAGCGGCAAAACGCGCTGGAGCGCCACAGGCGGCCGAACGATCGGCGGCGAGCTCGGGCCACCTCGAGCGGTCGATGTGGAACTTGTCGAGCTCGCCGTGCGGATGCTGTGCGCCCAAACGTCACGTTGGGGCACCCGATCGGCCGGCCGTGAGGCACCCACGACGAGACTCGAGAGCATGCCCAAAGGCCAGAGAGAGAGAGAGTCTCGTCTCTTCATGCCCATGCGACGAGGTAGGCGATCGAAATCCATCCAGCTGTCACGCGCTAGGTGAATTCTTTTTTGCGAAAGGAGAGCTCTCCGCCCTTCTCTCCGCCCTTCGCCACCTCGAAGTGGAGAGGTGCAGCTTCGCCGTCCGCCTCGTGGAGAGCGTGCAGGTGCAGCTCTCCCGTTGCCTATGTCGGCCCTCAAAAACGCCTGCGCCAAACTCCGAGCCCTCCACGCTACGCTGTCCAGCCCGTTGTTGCGGCGGCAGCAGCGCCTCCGGTGGAGGTCATCCACCACCGCTGCCTCGCCGGTGGAGGCAGAGGCGTCAAACTCTTTGCCGAGGGGGAGCATTGCGCCAGAGAATTCCCGCGTTGAGGCGACGCGCTCGGGGAGCGATAGAGGCAGTCTCGCCTAGGCCTTGGCGTTGAAGTGAGAGAGTGAGAGAGTCACAGCTTGTGGGTCGATGGGATGGATATACACTGTTGTCTGGCGCCGTGTACGTACGGCGTTTGCCGTAACGGAGTACGTATTTGGCCCTATTTACAAGGTACTCGTTATCAAAAGACACATCCGATCTTGCGAGCCATCCCCCCATCCGTTCTCGAGACGCATATCCGAGCCCGCGCCGAGCTGGGCGCGCTGAGCGTGCACATGCCATCCGTCATGCACAGTAAGCCCCTCCCGCATATTCTACACCCATCAAGTCGTTCCACAGTAACAGCGCTACGGTCCGCGTCGGCTACCGATCGGCCTCGAGGGTAACGGGGCCGCAGTCGATCGGCCTCCTCGAAAGCACCGCAGGGCGCCCCGTAGGATTGGGACGCCGTCCGACGCCCCCCCTCCTAGAGCCGCTTTTTGTGCGGCCCGAGCTCCGTCTTGGACGCCTTCTTGTAGCAGCGCGCGCCGCCGACAGGCAGCGTCGAGAGGATGGGGCCCTTGAAGAGCTTGCAGCGGGACGCCTTGCCTTCGACGGCGTACTCGAACCCTGCGCGGGCCAAAGCGCGGTGTGCTGCTACCAAGAGGAAGGAGCTGAAGTGGGGGGGGCGGGTGGGT